AATTTATATATAAATAAAAATATAATGTGAACATTATATTTAATAAAATCAAATCTGATCAAATTTTTCGAGTTGTGCCATTAACAATGCAAACATAGAACCACGTTCGATTTTTTAACATTGATTTTTTTACTATCTTTCTGAAATGATGAAAGTAAATAAAAAGATTATACAATGATAATTAAATATAATAAATATTAATATTTATTCGTAAGTTTGGTTAGAAATAAAAGACAAACCACTTCTTAAAGTTAATAGTACATAGATTCATTCACATATCATATATTTTAAGAAATGGACTTGTCTTTTATTTTTAAGCAAACTTGCAAGTAAATATTGATATTATCATGTTTAATAATTAAAATTAATTTAATTTTGTTCTCAGAATTATTTGATTCGAAATAAAGTTTACATTTACATAACTTGAGATACTGATTTAAAAGGATACAAATGTATAATATAAATAAGGAAGACAAGTTTGCTTAATTTAGGTTAGGTTTATCATATGATTCTATTTGAGTTTTTTTAAAAAAATGAGAAAAAGAAAAAAAATATATCGATTCTATACTTTATTTTTAAATATATAAAAATATATTCTATAAATATATCACTGCTTGACATTAATAAAAATATAATTCAAAATATAAATTATAGAGGCTAAATTTACATTTTTGAACATATCAAATATAAATCTTATTAATTATTATTATTAATAATTATTGTATATAATTATTAATTAATTATTGTGGTTTTTCATAAATTTATATAAAAATAGAAATTATATTCAATAAAAACAAATATGAAATTCTTTGAATTATGCCATTATTAATATCAAGCAGTGATGTAAACAAATTCATATTCAATAAGTAGTACATACCGGCATATCTCTCATTTAGTTTTGTTTCTCACGACAGATTTAACCACGATCTTTAGCTCGAGTTAAATCGATCACAGTGTTATGTTTGTACGATTATTATCATATACACGATTCAAGTAGATGCAACTCGCGATCGAATCGTTTCGCTACAGTGTACACATAGTGGCAATCGTGCAAACAGGTGGTGCGTACGATTTACGCTCGTAGCCAATGCTTTGCCCGAATGCTCGCGTGTGAACGCGTCCTGATTTTCGACCGTGCATCTGCCTTGCGATAACTATCGATCCTGTGCGACTCATCGATTGTTCCGCGATCGTTTCAGTTGCACGTTAGGTTGACAACGAGCGATATACCAGATGGACATGGCCGCGAATCGACTTCAGTTTTGTTTTGTTCCACTGTGCCGCTTATCGGATTTCCTGTTCAAATATCTTTCGTTGCATCGCGTTGATCGTTAGCCACTTCCGGAATATGTAAATGAATGATCGAGATTCGTCAGTTCGTTTGAATTTTTCTTTTACTTTTGTGACATTTGTATGAAGATTGAAAAGTATATGATAGTTTAGAATCTATAGACATAAATTACGTGATAGAACAGTGTCTTTTTTGTGATAATTATATGACAGGTGTTACTAAATTTGATATAAATACAATTATAAATATAAAATTGAAATAAAAAATTTTTTCACTCTTTAAATATTATAATGTACATTTTATTTTGAATATTTTATTATGCATTTTAGATTTTTGAACATTTAAATTTTTCATAAATGCATAAATATCCGCACTCTAGTGATAATAATAAAATGAATAGATTAAAACTAAAAAAATAAGAAGATAATAATCCATACGTCAATAAATAAATAATTTCTTTTAAACGATAAAAAATATAAAGAAATTTTTCGAACATAACAATATTCACTTGTAAATTTATTCAAAAATAAGAGATACATTTCTTAAAATATATTATACATGGTGCTATCGATAATCTAACAGATTAATTATATTAATTAAATTAATTAAATTAGGTTAGATTAATAAAAAAATGTATATAAATCTACGAATCACTGTACATACATAGAAACATCATTAAAAATAATATGCTCAATAAAATATTTCAAAATCATCGAAATCGATGAAGATATTATTCCGTAAACATCAGAAATCACGAAACATCGAAATGATTCCTTAATAACCTTTCTTCAATACAACTTAGTGATTGTAATTTGTGCATTTCTAGGTAAGGTTTCTCCATGTTTCACGAGAAATACGCATACGTACGATATCGTGCAGACGAGTACAACCACGATCCGTACAATCGAAGGAGGAAGGGGTCGGAACAGCGAGATTTACCCCAGAGCCCCGGGCAACCGCAACCCCCCGAGCGATTTCGATTATCGATAGCACTCGTTTTAAAACAGCCTGTGTGTCGATTCGTCGGTCTCCAACGCTAGCCCTCCGTCCCCCCTTTCCGCCGAGCAAAACCCACCCCGGTTCTTTTTATTCCCTTCTCGTTGACGGACGCGACGCGACGCGACGCGATTGTCACATTCAGAGGGGGTGCAGTGGCCGTGGTCCACCCCGCAGATGCTATTCCAGATTCGTTCGATCGGCTTTCCGATTCGCGGCTTCCGATTCTCGGTTACTCGTTCGTAAACACCTGCGGCTATACCCTCTAAACCCAACAGTATCGTTCTCGCTCTCTTTTACTTCGTTTCGTTTCGTTAGCAGGCTTGTCTGCTGTTCGCCTCGCTCGCGTATTGGCGTTTCGAATTCTTTGCATTTATGACTGTCTATTCTATTATTCCACTTCGTTTTGTTCCAGTAATTTTTCCTTCTATGCTTGGAGAGAAGAGGGATTGCTTTCGTGATTGCCTAATAAGATTGGAAAAAATATAAATTATTTAATTATATTTGGGAATAGACGTATCATTTTTTTATCTTTGTAAATAATCAAATTTAGAAATGGAATAAAAGATGCACGGATTTATAAATAACCTAATACAATAGTTCTCAAAAAGAAATTTTTAATAAACGATTTTAATATATCACATAACAGACGTCGTCTCACTTTTGTTGGGTAAATAGTGTTGTGAAATCTCAGAAACTCGTTCAAAAATATTATCAAGTTTAAATCTTCTAATATAAATTAGAATATAGTAATGTTTATGTTGTATACTTTTTGATATCTTATTCAAAGCACGTGTTTAGAACTTATATCAAATATACAGAAATCTTCCGAAATCCACGATGCCAGTTATAGGTTAAACAGGTTATTTGTTCCAATATAATTACATTGCCATTATATTCTACAAATATATTAAAATTCTTCCATTTCAAATTAAAATAATCATTTATTATAACAATTAATTATAACAATTAAAACAATTTCGCTAATATTAATTTCTTTAATCTTTTTCCTTGTCACGTATAGGTTAAGTTGTTAAGAATATTACAAGTCACAATTCCAAAAGGTTAGAAGAGATCGAGATCTAATAAAATCGAAGAGAGTGCAGCGATACTGGTGATCTTGGCTGGATATCGTTCCATTAGTGGCCGGGTCGACAATAGACCCTTAGGAGGCGATAAGGCGAGCGACTTTTCGACAGGGTGGTGAAGCGTTCGCGTCCCATCTCGTCTTTTCCCGTTTAGTTCTCGTTTGCTCTCGAGGGAACGATCGCTCATCTCTCGAAACACCGTTTGTTCACCGTGCGGTCATACACCCTCCATCTCCGACACGTAATCTTCGCTATTCCGTGTCAACTATCTCGCATCGATCATACCACTGATACTATTAAATTCCTCTTTCCCGTTGAAAAAAATGTCGTCGAACCGTCTTATCTTATCACCTCTATAACGAAAGGATCGTCAGATACGTTTAGACAAAAAGAAGTTGAATGTAGTCATAGAAGATGTTCATGTGTTTTATTGTTATTCTATAAAATATTTTATGTGAAATATCGTCAATATGTAATAAATTATAGAGAAATTTTGTTATTAATGGAATATTGTAAGTGAAACAAAATTTTAAACTATAAAATACGAAAAATATTTAAAAATTTTGAAACTTGATTTCATGTATTCAATTCAATTCAAATTTTCATTAAAATTACATTCTTCATAATAGGTAAATTTTTTTATAAAATAATGAAATCCTTCTGAAGATTATTTTAATTGATTAATTAATTTTATTTTAATTACAATAAAATTAAAAATAAATAAAATAGTGCTTACTTAAATAATCATCCTGTGATTTGTTCGCAAACTTGTTCACATCAAAAGAACACAATTTTTTACAAAAATTATCTAATTACTTATTTTAATCACGACAAGTTACCTGAACGAAACTAAAATTAGAAAACAATCCAAAACTTCGCTCCTTTTTATCAATATCTATCTTTATATGTAACAACACGTAATATAGAATTTCTTTTCACATATATACACTACACTCAAATTGAATCGCTCTTTAACTTTTCTACTTCAACCGCTTCTCCTCACTTTTTCTCTTTCTCTCTCCCTCTCTCGATTTTCCTCAACTTGGAAAAAAGAAAAATCTCCCTGTCGCTAACTTTTTACCACGGACGATTTCCCGCATAAGAAATATGAATTGTTAATAGGAGGTAAAAGCAATTTTGTGTTGCTTCACGTAACGGAGCATCGATATATTCTCAGCAGAGTGTATTCGTCCCGCGGCAAATCGAGTCAAGTCGGTTCAAGCGGACTATGTAAATCGGGCCGATATCCCATCTCAACCACGATCCGCATACATTAGTTTTTATTTCGTTTCGCTCTTCCCTTCCTTAAGTGGTCATTTTCATAAAAAGGCCCGCTCAAACTTGCTTCCTCTCCTCTTTCTCGACAGGTTAAAGATCGTGACGAGCCACCTACTTTTAATAATAATATTGAAACGTATAAATAAGAATTATTCGCCAAGAAAGATCCTTATGCTTCAAGGAAAATACGACTTGCTCGTGGCAAAATATATTGGTGAATATTTATATACAAAAAGTATCGATAATTTTTTAATACGTTATTAAGATCATCGCTTTGAATAATATTGTGAAATTAAATAAATTTTTAACATTAAGTCTAATTTTATCCTAAATTAAAATTAAATAAAAATTCATTTAACTATCAGTCGATTTAATTAATCTATTTAATCTATTTAATCAATTGTTTATAAGAATAAAACTAACCTGATTTAATCTTAGTTATTTTTGTAAATAATTTAACGAACAACGATCACCAAGTAAAATCTTAGTATTAAAAAAATTTCCCAAATATCCGAAATTCTAAATTCTAAATAGTTAACAAATTTCGTAAGCAATCTTTTTCCCGTTAACTTCACACAATTTCAATTAAATGTGAAAAGCAAGTCTCACGCGAAATATTCAAAAGCACGATCGAAATTATCGACCGCAAGCGATTTAGTCCTGATCGGTGGTTGCCCTCCCCAGGACTCGACCCTTCCGGAGGGAGTTTTGTATGCGGATCTAATTACTTCCGGTCGGTCGTTCGCGCCGCTCGATACACATATATCCGGAATATCACGAGTCGAATCTGCGCGGAGGACGTCCCACACATCTGCTCAAGTCCTTTAATATTTTTCTCTCTCTCTCTCTCTCTCTCTCTCTCTCATACGCACACACAAGCATCGCATTAACACATCGCGTTTCGCGCACTTCTCACTTTCGAAACGTGTAGTGGCGTAGCTTCGAGCCTCGTCAAATTGAACGCTCGATCGGTAAAAGCTCGACGAAACGAGATTCGAGATGGGTGGTTCGACAATGAGGAGAGTAATGCTCGCGCTAGAGAGGAGCAAAACTGGTGAGTACCGAGTTAGGAATGCTTTGAACTTGCCGCAGCTTTGTCGCGTATCTCTTACACCCTACGTTCCATACTCGACGGTATTGCATCCCACCGTTTAATATTTCCAAAGTGCTTCGAGGAAAATCGACTGAATCACTGAAATAGATAGCGGATGATGTTTTTTTGGCTCGCTTCACCCTGATCCTGATTAGATTGCAAATATGTAATAATTTAGGAATGGAAATACTCGAAATTTTTCTAAAAATTCTAACTATATTTAGAATATATTTCTCGAAGCCTTATTATGGAATATTGCAACAATAGATGATTTTGAGAATAAAACTCTCGAGAATTGCTAGTATTTTTTCGCAAGTAGAAATTATTTATATTAAAGTGATTGATTAATTTTTTTCACTTTTGATCATCTTACTTACTCGTACTTTTTCAAGATTAAATTATTAGTCGTAAATTCGACACGTTTCTTTCATTTTTCGTTTCTTGCGAGGAGTGATGGAGAGAAGATGGCGAGACGGAGAAAGTTGATAAACGAAGGCGAGGAGAGGATAGTAATATAGTTGAAGAATCCCCGCGTTGCTTTGACGCTCGTCACTCTTCGGGATTACGGTTAAGACCAAGGTGGTGGTCGTTCAACTTTCCTCGTCTCTCGTCGCTTTCTAAGCGCAGTCGCCTGTAAAAAATGCAAAGCTCGCTTTTTATTTAGTCAAAGCCGAAGTAGAACGCGCTCGAGTACCGTCAAGCTTTGATCTTTTCGAACGTCTTTTTTTTTTTTTTGAATCTACCAACTACTTTTTCTAGATCGAATAAATAAATATACAGGAAAAGATATAAAAAGTTCGATTTCGTATTTTTCCGCCATTATCCTTCTCCAATACAGTTGGCCAGTAGCAAAAGTTCATTACTTAATCCATTATTCACAAACTTTTTTCTTCAAAAATTTTCTTCTATATAATTCTATATAATCATTGCAATTCTATGTAATTCTCTATAATTAATCTCAAGTAAAATATTTCCAAATAAAATTTTCTTACAAAAAAATTCATATTGGTGAGAACTCACTGATAACGAGATATAAATACACGCGTAACCTGATAAAACATAAAAATAAAATTCAATATATCATAATAATAAATTAATCAATCGGACATTAACGAAAATTTCCAAATTGTTTGTGAACAACAAGATATAATTAAAGCTATAAACTCAACAGTGACGCAACTTGATGGAACAAAAATAAAATTTGAATATCGCAGCAGCAGATAACGGATGAATCGGGGCATTGACAAAATTTCGTTCCAACAAACGAAACTCGTATAGATATAATTCCATCTCCTATCGTATTCTCAACTCGTTTTCTAAACACAAATGGACCAACGATCCTTTTGTGCCCGTGAAGCCGAGAGATAAGCGGTCATTTTTCACGGATATATATAAATGCAGGTTATTAATACGTTCGTATTACAGGGCACATAGAGGAGGTAATTAGTCGATGGTTCATCAGTCACTCTGGCACATAAGAGCCGTGCATCCCTGACGCATCGTTCCGAAGCAAAAAAGTGTTGATCCTTTCCTTGAGAGCAGCAACGACCCGCAGGATGCATTAAGGAACTAATGAAACGTCGGATCGGAACGTATCCTCCTTGAGAGAATCTTCTGGGAGGAGGTTTCTGGAGAGAAGGATGCCGAGTGTGACGATCTCTGTCGATAGTTAATCGCCTTGCTCGAGGTAGATCGATTATTCAAATTCATTGCCTCGATTCGGCCTTTTATAGGTGGTAATTGGCGTTTCAACGAGATGCACCTGAAAATAAAAAAGGAATTAGTACGAAAAAAAAATTAAAAATTAAAAATTAAAGAAGATGTGAAATTCTCCAATTGAAGAATTAAGTGTTTTTGTTCCCTTTTTTTTTCTTTTTTATATAAAAATAAATTTCTTTCGAGTTTTCAAAAGTTGTTACAAATTGGATCTGTATCTTTCTTAATGCAGGCACTTTAATTCAGGATAATCGGTAAGGACCCACTACTGGTAATAACGAAGATAAAGACACACCCTTACTACTCCCTAGTGTCGCTTTGATATCATTTTCCCTTTTGTTCCTCCTCAGCAACCTGGAAATGAACTCGACGAAAATATCAAACTTAAAAGAAAGAATTTTCTATATACATAGATATTACTATGTAAGTACATTACATATATCTATTTTATTAGTTTCATTTAAAATTTTCGCTACGAAATGGAAATTTGTTATAAATCGTATTACGACGATAATTTGTTAAAATGAAAATTTCTCCTTTCTTCCATAATACATCTTAAACTCTGTACTTTTATTTTTTTTAATAATTATGATTTTTACAATCAATGGCGTATGTAAGTACTGCTGCATCTGCAAAAAAAAATGAAAAAATATTTTCAAATATTTTGAATATTTAAAAATCAAAAAATAATAAGTGCTAATAAAAATAAATAAATATCATAAATCATAAAATTATTAATACTGATAATATATAAATGGAAAATTATAATCAAAAATTGATCCAACACGGAACGTGAAATGTTCATGAAAAATTCGAAACTATCGAATTCAAACGATTACGTGTGAAGAACGCGTCTAAAAAAAGAAGAGAAAAAAGATGAAAGAGTTGTATTTCACTGTCCAACCTATCACCTCGATCGTTTCGACCGATTTGGCGAAAGGAGGAACGTTGCCTCGCTTGTGCCGGCGTGGAAAGGTGAGCTTCCACCTTTCCATTTGATGGGGGTGGTTTCTCGGTGATAAAGTGCAAGGAGAATCGCGCACGAGGTCACACCGACCGGCATCCCCATTGGCAGCCCAGTTTCAAGCTAGAATCGTGATTGGTCGAAGGTCGTGGGTCGCCTCACCTACCCTCTATCCAACGTGACCTCCCACGCGAACCCGCGAGATAACTACTACCCTTCCACCTTTTCCGGGTTTCGCTCGCCGCTCACAGCACACCGGTTCGTCCTTTCCCAGTTCCAACCTTTCTATCCTATCATCTTCCAAGTAATCGTGGCCGTAACTACTATCTTATATCATCTTCTTTTAACCCTCTTCTTTTAACCTTGGCCGACAATGTCATCGAGATTTGCAGAGAAAGGTCTTTGAAAGCTGTTTACTCTGATTATCGGCTGGATAATTGGGTAAATGGTATTATTTGGTTGTTGCGCATGAAATGGCCCATTTCAGTAATCTGTAAAATCATTCAGAAGTAAATGATTAAATGTATTGGAAAATATTGATATTGATTTCTATTATAATAATTTGATTCTTTATAAAATTAATAAATATGATATATATATATATATTTTTATAATGTAATATTTTCGTTATTTCAATCAATTTTTAATAATCTTATTTTGTGTATGTCAATTTAAAACTTAAAATTAAATAAAATATAATTAAATGTACTGTTAATAAAGTAACACATACAAAAATTAATGCCTATATAATAATTGATTCTTTACAAAAAGTAGAAGATTCTTTAAAAAAGTAGAAAATATAAAATAACATTTTATCCTTATAAAGAATATCTAAAAAAAATAGCATTTAAATAATCGAAGATGATACTTGAGATAATTTTAAATAACTTTTTTCTTTATAAAAATTTTTGTTTCGACTTTGTTACGAAGTTATTAATAACAAAAAACAATGATCAATCACAAAGTATGTAAAGTTTAGTTTGTTTAGTTTATGTCATTCGTCATTTCAATCCATTCTTGATAATCCTATTTAATCAATTAAAAACTACATGAATATATATTAAATATTATTTTATTATAAAGAAACAAATTGAAAAATGAATTCTAATCTAACCTAATTTATCTTAACCTAACTTAATATTTTGAATTCGATTATTTTTTACAAATTCAATATAAATCATAACTATAATATTCATTTATCTAATGATTTATAGATAATTATATATATACTTTACATTTACAAATTTTACATTTATCAAATTTATTCAAATCTCTATTATCTATGATAAAAAATTTCCAACATTGACTCTTCGTAAAGAGATTAACGAAGCAATAAATGGATTTCTCGTATTAAATGAGGAAGGACGAGGAGAAGAGAATCAACACGTTTGAAAAAGGATCAAGCGGTGCATTATTGAGGATGGTTTGATAATTAATTAGAGTGGCAGCGGCGGCAATGTAAACAGACATTCAGTCGGCGAAGCGGTAGATTCAGTTCGGCCGACTGGAAGATTTCGGTGTATTCGGTTTGGTCTTTGGGGCAAACATAATCGACGTCGATGCGTTCTCCCTTGAGAATCGTCAACGTCGATGTCTCGACATAGTTGGCGACGAAATGGACGCGCAAATCTGTTCGAGAGAGAAGCTAAGTTTCTCTCGATCATCGCCAAAAGTTGTCGGTTCTCCGCGATGAAATAATTGCACAGATGGTCGTTCGATTTCTCTATTTGCGTTATGATTGGTCATTTTCAAACATATATTTGTATATATATCTAATGTATACGCAATATTTAATATTTGATCACACTAGCAGAATAGATCGATTCTGTCGTTTGAAAATTTTCTGCCAACTATTTCTTTGCGACCAATTAATATTAATTTCCATTAGTACTATCAATATTTAAAAGTAAATATGCGTACGCAAATATCATTTACAAATGAATGTCAGAATGGAATTTCAAATGGAGGATCGAAAAATAGTTTAATAAAAATAGTAATTTAATTAAAGATAATATTAATTAATTTTTCCTTTTCCTTTATATTTCTTTATCTTTTATATTCCTCTATTTATATTATTTATCTATTATAATTTATCTATTTACATTTCACCTTTTAATTACTTACAATAAATAACGAAACATAAATTTTATGAAATATGTTTATCCTCAATAAGTGGCTTTAAAATATTGAAAGATTTTAATAGTTAGAGGTTAACATTATTCTATATTTAATAATTTCATAGTTACCAATTCAAAGTATAATATATATTTTGATTAATCGTTGAACATTCTCGATGAAGGAATTTAGAAATTCAAATCGCGTAGAATTTCGATTTATAGGAATATGTCGTAGTAATATATTACACGTAAATACATACGAAACGAAGCTGGACAGTTTATATCGTATATGGGTTGGTAAACCACAAGTAGATTCCCTTTCACTCTGCGGTTTTCTCGCGCATGCGGGAAAGCATGATATTTCACGGGAAGATATTTTATTTTAGAAGCGGAAGGATATACGATTTAGGATATATAGATGGCGGAAGTGGCACGATATGTCTTCATGTTGCGGTCTCTCAATCACGATATTTTGTTTAACTAACACTATACGTATTCATTCAGTGTTTGAAAATACAAATCCATCATATATCTACAATATTATATTATATAAGAAAAATATGTATATGAAATTTGTGTATGAAATTCATTAAATTGTATAAAGTCTAATATGTTAACTTTTTAATTGGATATCCACTCATAATATTGGCAATAAAAAAAATTATTTAAAACCTATAAAACCAATAAAATTGTCAATAATCAATCACATTATATTATATTAAAATCGCTTATTGATAATAACCATATTTTATGTTTATTAACAATAATTGTTGCTTATTGAATATTCTTAATAATTGTGACTATATCAAATTTTATGAACAAATAATTATTATACAGATATTATTAATTTTTATTATAATTTTATCTAATCTAATTTAATTTAATTTAATTAGATTTTATAAGAATATTTTAAATTAATAAAATTCTAGTGTAATTTTTCTTTAAATTATTGGATTCTATAAATGTTAACGATTTCAAAATTTTAATCAATGTTCCTCTAATTCGTCGATTTTCGGTATCGAGTTAAACATGAAAATGATCGGTGGACGTGTTAATGGAATCAGTTGAAAGGTAATCCATTTTCACAAGACAAGAAGCAGGTCGTAGCGATGCGCTGGTAATTGCGTTAGAGTAATTACGTTATATACCTATGTGCGAATAGCACTTTTCCAAATAACAGTAAATGGTATCAAGCACGGTCTGATCAATACGAAGAATATATGACATCATATGAGAAAATTATTATTATACAGATTTTCAAATTGCTAAACAATTATGAAATTTAATGTAATATTACTTCGATTTAATAATTCTTATAATCATAAAGCATTCTAAATCTTTTTTTTTTTTTTTAAACTTGTCAGAATAAAATTTAGAAAAATTGAAAAAATCTTACATTTTTGTAATCTATACGAAATTATATTCATAAAATTATATTTATATATTTATCAAAATAAAATTTAAAAAAAGTGGAAGAATTTTATATTTTTCTATAATATAGAAAAAATGAAGTACCTACTGGTATATTTGTTCGTGTCGCGTAATTCGACAAAAGACAAAACTTGAACATGAGAGTAACTGGAAAACAGACTGCATGTTTTAAGTGCCACTTGTGTAACGTAGAAGGCTAATAGAAGAAGTCATGCAGTGTCATTGTTGGTAGACAATATCACAGATGGTTAAGTTTCTCCACACGTATACTTGTGATTCATTGAAAACCATTGAAAACCAGTACTCAACATATCTTCCATCCTGCATTCTCTATATTATTTTATTTCCATAATATTTGCAACGTGTCAAACTTTTTTTTTTTATAAATATCATTTTACTGTGCTCTTCTAAAATCGATTCATATTTGTAAAATTTTAATCAAACAAAAACTAATTTCATGCAATAAAAAAGAATCAAATAAACTTATTAAAACTTATCAAAATAGTAATAATCTTAGCCAATTTGCGAGGACAATCCTTATATGGGTAAAATATATGCTAATTATAGTTAGCACTAAGTATGTTAAAATTGTTTACCTATTTTATTATGTTATTAATGTTACTTACTTAACCTTGTATGCTCAATTTGCTCAATACACGTTATATTGCGTTTCCAATTTAATTTTATTTCCTTCTATACTTTTTTTTTTTTATCTTAAAGCACAATGTTAATTACTAATTATAGATAATAAAATTTTATTCTTTTTCATCTATTTATAGAAATCGTAATTATTCGAATAAACATTAAATTTATTTCATTCAAGTAAAAGGAATAACAAGGTATATAATTTATTCATCTTTACACATAGATGATAATGATTGATAATGAACAATAAAAAAATATCATGCAATAGATATTCGATTCATTCACAACCATTTACTTCTTGAAAGATGAAAAATATATGTATTTACAATATATAATACGAATATATGTATTTTATACTATATATTATTATTAACGAATTATCGTTTACGTATACTACATATGTATGGAAATTTCCATTAAATTTCGATGTTAAATCATATCACAATATATTGATCACACAGCGACATATGTATTTTCTTATCATAATATTATTCATAAGTTTTACAATAAAATGATAAATGAACATCACACGCATTGAATATAAAAATTTAAAGATTATTAGTGACGATTGTATAGTTAATATTTTAAAAATAAAACGCAAACTATACTACGCAGCATTCTCATTACAATACACACAGTTTGTATAATTGAATCATAAAAAAAACAAAATCTACGTATGCATATTTACATCAATGTCAAATGTTAAAATAGATTGGCAATTTATGCCTACGCGTGCCTGCCGCGTGTATGCAACACAATATATGTCAAAAAATATATACATGCACAAAACGCATAATTAAACACGCATATTAAGCGTGAATTATTCATCGTTAACCTTAAAAATCCACAAAACATTTCATGTTTTGTAAATATATCCAATAAAAATGTCATTTAAAGACATAAATGTATTATCAAATCTTCTACCTTTCATATTAATAATGAATATATCGCTTATTTTTCGTTAAATTAATTCTCGTATACATATATCACTGGATCATGTCATAATTCCCTTTCGTTCGTTTTCATTTTTACTTTTCTAATTGCAATGTATCATAACTTTGACAACATTCTGGCCCGACTTCGAAGTCTCGAAAGCTTGAACAGTGTCTTCTAATTTATAATTGTGCGTTATCAATGGTTTTACGTCTATTTTTCGGGAAGCCAAGAGATCCAATGCGTCGGCATAACTGAAGAAAAATAGAATGGAAAATATTATTTAAAATTATATTCATTGATATAATTGATATGAATGTGACAACATATTGAATATTGGATACAAAGAAATATTCTTACGTTATTCTATTATCTCCATGTCGCTTTAAAAATTTAAATAGAGTACTGAAATTACTAAAAATGTATCTTTAGTAATTTTTCCTTTCTTAAACAAATCTCGTTAAACAAACGACAGGCGAGAATGTATTATATGATGACTGACACATGAATGTTACTTACGTGCATAGCATTTAATAAAGTAAATTAAAAATTTAAATTAGTATGAATCAACAATGAGATTGGAACAAAGATATATCTCTTCTTTTATTTATAAGAAATGGAAAAAAAAAAACTTAATACGTACTCGTTTGCGTATCGAAATACACCTCTAATATCAACTTCTCTTATGAGTGCATTTATCAATGGAACTCGAACTTCTGGTGGGCCCATTCCTACTAAAACAGCTACTCCGCCGGATTTAGTCGCCTAAAAATTATATAGTTAAAATATAATAAATATATTTTATTTAATTAATAACTCGTACAATAAAATAATTCTTATATTTTTTGAATTTTTTGAAAAAAAAAACTTACGAAAATTGCTAAGCGTATCGAAGACTCAGCTCCACAAGCATCGATCGTCTTGTCCGGTTCTTCTCCAAAAAGTTCGATAATTTTTTGCACAGTCTTTTCCTCCATATCATCTTTTTTTATCAATAACGTTTCGTTAGCACCGAGTTGTTTTGCAAGATCTAATCTACTTTGCATCAGATCTAAAAAAGGGAAAGATAGATTCGTATTTTTAGATTGTGAATATCTATATATAATATCTATATTGATAACTATATAATAAATTTTAATCGTTTTATTGGACTTATTAATGTTTAAATCCAATTTAAACAACTAATAAAATAATCTTATTATTTATTTATTTATTTATCTATATATCTCATTGGAATTGAACAATGGTTTTTAATTTTACTTAATAATTTTTAATATTTATTTATTTTAATAAATAATTATTTTAATAAAGATTGAACATCCTCTCTAATTAATTTTTTTAATTTCCCACCCATAGAAATAAATCATTTTAATATTACAAAAAGGAATCACAACTCAAAAAGTATTGAGATAAAAATAGGAGTGAGATAAAAAAAAACATACCGGTGATAACAATTTTACTAGCTCCCATAGCTTTTGCTACTAATAACGATACCAAACCGATAGGTCCGGCTCCCAAAATTAAAACTTTTGAACCGATGCCAATGTTCGCACGTTTGCAAGCATGAACACCGACCGACAACGGTTCCAACAGTGCTCCTTCAGCCAATGACACGTGATCCGGTAATCTGTGATGTAAACCAATAATTTTCACGGTTAGAAACGTTTTCTTCGTGTATAAATTAAATTCGTCGTATTGCGCATGACGGAGAAAGAGAAGGGAGGAAAGTGAAAGACGTTGACTTACTTGAAGCAAAAATCAGCGGCATGTTTGTAGAAACGTCTCAGGCTACCATGTACTGGAGGAGTAGCGCAAAATACCATTTCTTTGCACAAGTTGTAACGTCCTTCCTTACAAAACTTGCAATATCTACAGGATACTCCAGGTTCGATGGCCACTCTGTCTCCGACCTTATATGTTAAAATTAAAACATTATAAAATTATTATTGTAATTAAATATGTAGTCTCGTGATATAGAATTCCAAAATGAATAAAAAGAGATATAATGTATTTATATTTCATACGAATAATTATTTAATTAAATTTAATAGATGTAGTAGAAGCAATAAACAATATATGTCATATTTATCATACTATCTCCAAATTATCTAAATAATTTTTATTTCGTGAATAATACTATTGCCATATAAGTATGATAATTTTTATCATATTTATTTCAATTAGAATATATATCTCACTAAATTTTTTTATCGTATCTATGTGATAAAAAATTTTATAAAGATTATTTTAC